CCCACAGATTTAAGCAAGAGCCCCACTGGTTGCCAGGACATCAACCTGAACTGGATCCTCCTCAATACTAATGCACAGAGAAGTCAACTTATATGAATAGTTATTCAAAGCCTCAAATGAGGCATCACTTAGGCTATGCATGGGTTATAAATGCTCAATCATAGGATCCAGGGTTCCAATAAAAAATAGAAGCTTCACCTTCCAGAGTAGAATGTAAGAGAGAGCACATTCTAAGCACAACTAAAAATTTAGCTCACTGTAACACACTTTCACCATCTGAACAGATAAATCACAAGCCATAAAAAAACAAAACACATAAATGAATAAATATAATATACCATATCAACAAAGTCAAGGTAAAAAAAACTACATGATCATCTCAATAGATGCAGCAAAAGCATCGAACAACATCTAGCACCCATTCATGATAAACAAATTCCCTGCAGAAAATTAGGGTAGATGCTCTTTATCTCAATCTGCTTAAAGCCATCTATGACAAATCAACAGCCAACATCATATAGACAAAAATTAAAAAGCTTTTACTCTAAAATCAGGAACAAGACAGGGACAGACAGTGTCACCACTCTTACTCAATCTAGATCCAGAAAGATCAGCCAGAGCAATTAGACAAGAAATAAAAGGATTAAAAATAGGAAAGGAAAAAGTTAAATTGTCATTATTTGTGGATGACATATTCTACATAGAAAACCCCAAAATTTCCAGCCAAAGGCTTCCAGATGTAAAAAGCAAATTCAGCCACATAGCTTGATACAAAGTCAATACTCAAGAATCAATAGCCTTGGGGCTGGTGAGATGGCTCAGTGGTCTAAAGCACCTACTTAGAACAAGTTCAGCAAAGCACAGGGACCACGGTTCAATGCCCCAGCACCACATGCCAGCCAGCCCGCCCCCTGGTGGGCTGAGCTGGCCACACACACACACACACACACAAATAAATAAAAAAATTTAAAAAAAAAAGTAAAAAAAAAAAAAAAGAATCAATAGCCTCATTGTACATGACTAACAAATGCACTGAGAGAGAAACTGTGGAAACTAGACTTCTCACAATAACATCCACAAAAATGAAATCAACCTAACAAAAAGAACTCTACACTGAGCACTACAGCACTCTGAAAAAGTATATTAGAAAATGGAAAGACGGAACTTAGAAAAAATGGGGTATACAGATGAATGTCCATTTTGTATCTGTGTATTCAAAGTGGTTAGGATAGATATATAGTTACATTCTCTTAATGAATAGAATGATTTGTTCTAATGGTGTTTGTAAATAGGATCACAAGTCCGCATCTTGTACAGCAATTAACCACTAAGAAGAATATATGCAGTGTATTATTTGTTGAAAAATAAAAAAAATAAAAGAAAATGAAAATGGAAAGATATTCATTGTCTAGAGCAGGAAGAACTAATACAATGAAAATGGCCATACTTGCAAAACTGTTATACAGATGTACTACAATCCAGATCTAAATATACCAAACCTCATACACTCAGAGAAATCAATCTTAAAATTCATTTGGAATCAGAAGAGATCTAGAAAAGCAAAAGCAATTCTGGGAAACAAAGGCAAGACAAGGAATACAACAATCATTGACTTGAAATTATACTACAAAGCTAAAAATAGCAAGTCACCAGCAAAAAATCAGATGCATGCCACTGGCAGAGATGCAAGATCAATGCAACAGATTAGAAGATGCCGAAACAAATCCAAACATATTCAGCCACCTTATGTTGGATAAAGAAGCCAAATCCCTTCTCTGGAAAAAAAATAGCCTCTCTGATAAATGACACTAGAAAAACTTTTTCCACATGCCAACGATGGAAACTAGACCCAGGGCTGGGTGTGATGGCATAGGCCTGTAATCCCAGCACATTGTAGGCTGAGGCAGGAGGATCATGGTAACTTCACAACTAGTCTGGGCTATGCAGTAAATTCAAAGACAAACTACACAGTGAGACTCAGTCTTGAAAGACAGACAGGTCTCAGATCTGTATCTTTCAACATGCATTAGTCTAAAATCAAAATGGATCATATACCTAAATATTAAAACAGGGCCGGGGATATAGCTCAGTGGAATAAGTACCTGCCTGGCAAGTTTAAGGCCTTGAGTTTGATCCCCAGTACTAAAAAAAATAAAAAATAAATTTAAAAAAGTTAAAACAGATAAACTAAATCTATTACAACAGAGAATAGATAGATCTCTTTTAAGAAAGTGGGAAAGGCAAAGGCTTTATGAAAAAAATCCCAGTTGCACATAAACTAGCACAAAAAAAATCAACAACTGGGATCTCATGCTACAAAAAGCTTTTGCACAGCAATGGAAACAACCAACAAAATGATAAAACAATCTGCAGTATGGGAAAAATTTTGCCACCTATTCCTCAGAGAGGTGTCTGATAGTAAGACTGTATAAAGAACGTGAAAAAGATCAGAGTGCCCAACTTTAAAGACCAAATCCAAAAGTGGGCATCTGAAATGAATAGACATCTCTAAGATAAAGAAGTAGGAACTACAAAAAAATGTGAAAGGGCCAGTAAGATAGCTCGGCAGACTAAGCACCTGCTTAGGCAAGAATAGGGATGGGGATTCGATCCCCAGTACTGCATGCCACGCTGGCCCTGGCCCCAGGCACGCTGAGCCAGCGACCGAGTCAGAACATGGTGGTGCATGCCTGTAATCCCAGCACTGGAGAGGCTGAAAACAGGAGGATCACTATGAGTCCAAGCTGCATAGTGAGACCCTGTGCAAAAAATAAAAGAAAAAATATATATGCATACGTAATATGTATATGAAAAATGTTCAACATCACGAGTCATTCAAAAAAATGCCTATTACAACACTGAGATTTCATCTCACTCCATAAAGAATGGCTACTATCAAGAAATCTTTCAATAACAAATACTGCAGGGCTGTGAGGAAAAAGGAACCCTTCTCTGCATTTGGTGAAAGTATAGACTAGTGTAACTACTATGGAAATCATTGTGAAGTTTCCTCAAAAAACAAGGACTAGAGGTTCTATTCAACCCAGTTATTACACTTCAGGGTATTTTCCAAAAAAAAAAAATTAAGAGCATCAAACCACAGCGATATATTCAGTCATGTTTACAGCAGCATAGTTTGTAATAACTAAATCTTGGAAACAACCCAAATGTCCATCTATGGATAATGTGTTTGTTTTTAAATACTTTAGTACCACTCTGCCATGAAGAAGGATAAGGTTGAGACCTTTCAGGTAAATTGATGCACCTTGAGACCATATTCTTAAGTGAAATAAGTCAGACACCCACGTGTAAGTAGTGCACTGTTTCTCTCATATGAGAAACCAAAAGTATAAATAAGGACCAGAATGTATAATAGACATAGGGCAACTGGAAAACATATTCCAATGAGAAGAGAAACAAGAGAGGAGGAGAAAGGAAATAAAAATGTGAGCAAGAAATGGAAACAAAAGCTTTTGTAAATAAAGAGAGGAAGAAGAAGCAAAAGAAAAGATAAAAGAGGATTTTTTTTTTGAGACAAGGTCTCAACTATGCAGTTTGGGCTGGCCTTGTGCTCCCCTTTGTAGCCTCCAGGCTGGCCTCAAACTCGCAGAGATCCTCCTGGCTCAACCTCCCAAGTGCTGGGATTACAGGTGTGCGCCACCAGGCCTGGTTCTAGGGCTGCATGGTGGGCACCTGCATCCAGGGCCAAGACAGTACACCCAGGGATCTGGGTCTGAGACCACACAGCATGTGGGGCCAGGGATTGAACTTCAGTCCTTGTGCTTGCCAGGCAGGTGCTTATGCCTCTGAGCTATCCCTCTGGCCCTTGTAGTTTAATTTTTAACACTCTTCTGACTTTTTGGGAAAAAAATAGGGCTTGTGGTTAGATTGTCACCTGTCTATGTAACAGAGGTACTAAAGAGAAATGCTTAACAAGAAATCACCAAGTTGGTTCTGTTGCAGACCAAGAGACCAGTCAGTCTTGACCACAGGATCATTTGGTTGACTTGAAAATTACTTTTCACTACAACTCCCAGTTGCCAGATATTCATCAAAGCCATTACACAGTTCTCTCTTCAGATATTTGAAATTTCATATATTCTGACACTTGAACCTAGCTTTAAAGCTCCAAGACAGTCAGACTGTACTAGGAGAACATAAAGGCTCAACACTAATCTGTATATATGTATATATGTACAGATTAGTATATATTAGAGAGAGAATTTAAACTGATGGAGAGTTCAATCTAAGAGTTTTTACATGAGAGGGAGAAAAGGTAAATAAATAAATGCAATACACACTGTACATGATACAGACGAAACTAAGAGTAGTTAACAATTATAATAATTACAGGTCATGAATTAGAGAGCCAGCCAGATAGCTCAGCAGGTTAAAGCACCTGCTTAGGCAAATGCAGGGGCCAGAGGTTCAATCCTTGGCCTGATGTGCCAGCCTCACACCCAGGATGTGCTGAGACAGTGAATGAGACTGGGCGTGATGACAAATGCCTACAATCCCAGCACTTGGGAGGCTGAAAAGCAGGAAGGATCACTATGAATCCAACCTGTGCAGTGAGACCCTAAAGACCCTGTACTAAATACATTTTTTAAAAAAGAATTAGAAAAAAGAGTAAATTACTGAAATTAGTTTTATTACTTAGAAACAACTATAAGTACACTTCCCTCCCTGAAATGTTTGCAATCATTTCTATATAGTCAATTGTAAATTCATAGTGGATTGTGATTACTTAACTTGGTTTGAATCTTAATTCTACCACTTATTTATACAACTAAAGATATCAAGTACCTTACAAAGTGACTCAAGAACTGTTAGCCTACACACAGTCAGAATAACAGAGCTTAAGTATATACATTCAAAAATAAATATTAGTTTTAACTTTTTTCCTTTCTTCACAAATAACACAAAAACACTTTCTAATAATTAAACATTCATTGGATATCTGTTGTAATTATATGTACTGGAGCATCTCAGACTCTTACCAAATGAGGAATGAAGTCCCTTTGAATCAAATAATAGGACTAACAAATGATGAGAAAAAGCTCTAATAATTTAATAATAATTTAGAGCTCTAAAAATAATTTAGAGCTTTTTCTAAGGCAATGTGCCATAATAAAGGCAACATGCATTAGACTCACTTTCTTCCAGCTTCAAGGAAACTGAAGGGTTATTTCCTGCTTCATCTACATTTCCTTCACCACCTCCACGAGATCTTGAATTCCAGACTTTGATCACTTCAACATCATTGTCGCTTCCACTTCCACTTGAGCTACTATCCTTTTTGCCCTTTTTCCCTTTTGCTTTCTTCTTTCTAAAAAAAGAAAAAAGAAAAACATCAGGACACTAGGAACGCAGAGTAAAGATAAAATCAATTACCAAAGGACAATCAGCAAGTAGAAGTTTGAAATGTGTGAGCTCAGGACACAAAAATATTCAATTTACTTTGTATAATCATCGGAGCTTAAACTCATGGAAGTTTCATCAGAATCTGAAGCTATAAATTCATCCATACTATCTTCATCAAAGTATCCCTGGAGGAAAAAAAAAAACAAAAACAAATGTTTTAATAGCTTGCTTCAGTGTATATTGGAAATTATAGGGTTTTTAATACTCAATCTTTTATTTATTTTTATTTATCAATTATTTATTCATTTATTTATTTTTGGTGGTACCAGAGATCGAACTCAGGACTTTGTCCTTGCCAATCAAGCACTTATTCCACTGAGCTATCTCCCCAGCTCCTGGAAATTACAATAATGTTTTACTTCACTTAAGGATAAATGAATTGACATAAGAAAGATTGAGGAACTATCATAAGCTGGAGGAAATAAAGATCAACAGAAGACTAACTACAGAATGTGAAGACATGGGAAGAAAGAAGACATAAGTAGAAATAAAGACAAGGTCCAAATAAAACCCATTGTTTAGTTAATGGTATTGGACCAAAGTTAATTTCTTAACTTTTCATCATTTATTATGGTTATGCAAGATGTTATTTATGTATTTGGTATAGGGTCTCACTATGCAGCTTGAACTCATAGTGATTCTCCTGCTTTCAGCCTCCACAGCACTGGGATTATAGGCATACACCACCATGCCTGGTCTTGGTGACCAGCTCAGCATGCCTGGGGGCGAGGCTGGTACATGTGGTCCTGGGGAATCAAACCCTGGTCCCTGCGCTTGCCTAAGCAGGCACTTAGTCCACTGAGCTAACTCATTAGCCCTTATGTAAGATGTTAACATTAGGGAAAACTGGACAAAAGGTACAGGGAAACAAACATCTATTTTTGCAACATTTCTGTATGTTTAAAAAATTATTTCAAGTCAGGCATGGTAGTACATGTCTATAATCCCAGAATTCAGAAAGATTGCCTCAATTTCCAGGCCAGCCTGGGGTACATAGTGAGATCAAGGTCAGCCTGCATAACAAAGCAAAACCCCATCTCAAAAACCCAGGAAAAATAAAATTATTTCAAAATAAATATTTTTTATTTCTTTTTTGAGACACAGTTTGGCTACCTGGCTTAGGTTAGCTTTGAACTAGGTGCCCCAGAGTGACCTCCAATTTGAAATCCTCCTACCTCAATAGAAGAACATTTAAAACTCCTTCCACAATCATAAATGCATTCAAGATCAATACAAATGAACTAGAAATGAGTTAAAATAATTAAGATATAAAATGTATATGTACCAATTCTGAGATGAATATAATTATTCTGTACAACAAACAGATGAATAAAAAGGGGTTGTTTAATGAAATACAAAATTGCTTCTAGTATTCAGTAAGCAAAAACTGCCCTTTTCCCAAGGTTATTCTGCCCCCAGTAGACACCTTTTAAGCAATCTTGGGAATATGGCTTACCTTATTTTCTTTGCTAATGTAGTCCAACTGTAAACACCAAGGGTGAGTCCAGATTCGACTTAACATCTGAAAATCTTGGAAAAGTTTTGCACCTGCTTTTCCTCTTCCACCATCACTGCTGTTACCTACTCCTGCTCAAAAGAAAAAACAGCTGAAGAGACAAAGATTTCCTTTTTCAACTATGATGTTTCTAAATTAGGCGTTTTAGTCATACCCTGTAAAGCTGTAGAAAATGGCTTAGAATAACATTTGAAACTTGTGAAATTATAAACAAAATCCATTACACAAATTATGATGTATTTTTAAAATACATTCTAATTTTTAAATTTTTTTATCATATTCTATAGGGACTTAAAGTTCAACATATCAATACTTGATGAAAAATACCTGTTCCATGTTATGCCTAAGATGTTTGATATTCAGACAGATAGTAAGGTTAAGCTTAACAGCCTAGGTTGTATGGTAATAACAATAAGCTTGTCTTCTGGATGGTTAACAACCTAAGTTTGCAGACCACATTAGAGAAAAAGGAGGGCCGCAAGGAAAGCCAACATTTTGGCCCTAGCCTTCCAAGGTCAATTAAGACTCAGGACATATGAGAACTTGTACTGTTACATCATGTAACTCGGTAGTCCCAAATTTTCTGATCAAGGAGATTATGGGGCCAAAGAGGAAAGTGATCGATGATGTAGAGTGTGCCTAAAGAGAGTCACATGGAGAGAAAACATTCTCTCAGGCTTTCACAGAGAGCACAGTGGCCAAGCAATGACCGTGACTGACATTGACAAAGGTTCTACAATCTGAGGTACAGGATCTCAGGATAAATCCTGAGGGGATTTCACTGACCTTATCAGACCCAAAAGCTACAACTCTTGTTGCATAGGTCCTGCATTACCTTGGTCTTTATCATCCAGCAGAAAAGTATAAAAACGAAGTATAAGAAGTAAAGTCATGCTGTTATGTTGAGCTGTAGGGGACTCAGGTCAACAATTTCTGACATTGCCAGTCAAGCGGAAGACCCAATATTATTATGGGCTACTGGACTCTTAGAATATTTGGCTGAGTTTACACACCTATAATATTCAAATAACGGTACTTAACAAAAAAAGGGGATACAGATGAATGTCCATTTTGTATCTGTGTATTCAAAGTGGTTAGGATAGATATATAGTTACATTCTCTTAATGAATAGAGGGATTTGTTCTAATGGTGTTTGTAAATAGGATATCATGTCCTCATCTTGTATAGCAATTGACCACTAGGATGAAGGTATGCAATGTGTTAATTATTGAAACTGTCTTACCAATTTGACTTAAAACTGTCTCTTTGCTATGTTTCTCAATAAAATTATGAAAAAAAAATAAATTATGATATTAAAAAGAAATTCATCAGTAGAGCTTAGAATGCTTTCACTATTCACATAAACTTATGATTTTGAGTAAGGCAGCTGTTCTTTTTTTTTTTTAAAAGAAATTACCACAATATCAAGAAACGTAGTGGCATTTTATGTACCTTTGCTGGCTTGACTTTCTAAAAATGATGAACTGCTATCTTCTTTTATAAGTTCTCTGTATTTATCTGAAGAAAACTTTATTACCTTATCTTCATGAACCATGTAACAGAGCCTCATAGCTTGCTAACAAAGCTACTTGTCAAACAATGTCATATTGATGCTGAAACAGGAATATCAGCATTTTCTAAAAATGTTAATACCGAGGACTTCTAGTCAGCCTGAACCAAGACATCGTGTTACCTGGTGCATTCCCAAAGTCTAGACACCCAGTATGTTCAGTCATAACTTCCCAAAGTCAGTGAGCTATCGCTTTTTGATATGTATTATATAGTTGTCTGCCTATCTCATTTGTTGTTGTTTCAGTTGTAGAAGCAAATGGTATCTTTGTGAAATCACAGGGAGTATCACTGTACACATGTTGTGACATGTATATGTGAAAGTTGTAATGCATTCCATCATGTAGCCTCCTTTTTTAATTTTACCCCTTCACTTAGTACAGTGGCCAAGCTGACACCTAAAGCTCCACCATTTATATTAAGTTCACTTGTATAGTTTTGAACACTGGATCCAGATTTTATATTGGCAGTTACTGAGGCCAAAAGCAATATATTGTAACAGAATTCATAAATATTTTTGACAAATCAGTCTATATTTTATTTAAAATAAAAAGACTGAACCTGTACCTCTAAATAATTTGATCAAGGGCCGACAAGATAGCTCAGTGGACTAAGCACCTGCTTAAGCAAGCGCAGAGACCAGGGTTTGATCCCCGGTACCACATGCCATACCAGCCCCGCCCCTGGGCAAGCTGAGACCAGGCGTGGTGGCACACACTTATAATCCCAGCACTGGGGAGGCTGAAAACAGGAGGATCACTAGAGTCCAACCTGCACAGTGAGACCCTGTACCAAATATATAATAAATATAATATACATATATTACATAATATCTATTATATAATACATATAATAAAATAAACTGAATATACATTTCATTAAAATAAAATTGTCCAACAGTAAAATGCAAGAGAATGACCAAAAGAAAAAAATAAGTATAAAGCATCTATTTCTAGCCTCAAATTTTTTTTTAAGTCTTTTGAGGTCTAGGAATTAGATTCAAGGTTTTATGTAAGCTAAAGAAGTGCTCTACCAGTGAGTTACAACTATTGCCCCACTATTCATTTTCTTTGCTTTTTTGTTTTTATTTATTTACTTATTTGCCACAAGTGGTACTACACACTTTTACTCCAAGTCACAAGTTTGAGCCCAGCCTGGGCAATTTAGTGAGATTCTGTCTCAAAACAGGAGAAAAAGGGAAAAAACAACCACCAAAAGAGAGCTAAGGATGTAACTCAGTATAAAGGTCCTGGGTTCAATCCTTAGTATAGAATAAAAGAAAAAGTTAGCTGAATTATTAAATTGTGTTTTTGTGGTACTGGGGACTGACCTGAACCCAAGGCCTTCCAACTGAACTATATCCCTTATTTTTGTTTCTTTTGAAAGGGGGTGTTCCAAGGACACTATCTTGTCTAAGGTGGACTGCAACTTGTGAACCCTCTGCATCATCCTTGCAGAGTACTGACATTACAGGTGTTCACCATACAATGTAACCTGATCAATTAGCAAGTCTTGACCAAGAACATTTAATAGCAACATAAAAAATACAAGGCAGCTTCAGTTGTACACTCTGTAATCCAAGGTATACACTTGGGAAGCTGAGGAAGGTGGATGCCTAGTTCAAGGCCAGCTTGGGGAATTTACTAAGACCA